ATATATATATATATATATATATATATATATATATATATCTTCGGGCATAAAAAATATGAGATATTAGAGGCTGGAGCCTGGTTTCTGAAATATGAACTTATGAATTTTTATTATGATTAACAGAGTATGTATTAAGAGTTTTGGTACTTGATGTGAGAGTAGGCATTTTCATCTATGTGCAATTGTTTATATGTTTAAGCCTATCATAAAAATAGGCACTAGATAAAGGTGCCCACTCACAGTTCTTTTAAATGTATGTTCTCTGGTCACAAATAGTAATACTGTCATGACGAGCTGGGGAGAAAATTCACCTGCCTGCAGTAGCCTTACTTTTATGTGAATAACTATACCAGAGAAGGAATGTGCACCTGTAATTTTTTCCTCTGGAAAACGATTGCATGCTGAAGCTCTGCTTTCTTCATTACAGAACTCACTTCGCTAAAATTGTCTCTGCTTCTTCACAAACTCCCTCCATACACTGGCCAACTTATCACACACTGTCTAGCCACCAGCAAGCACGCTTAATATTATTCACATGTTGGGAATCAGTACACCAACCCGCATAGGTATTATCCAAGGAAAGACTCATTATGAGTTTCAAGGGCAATTACCAATATTCCAGACTCTCAAAGCCCCAATTCGGCACAGTGCCCCAAATCAATAATAACTAGAACTGGGAGGCTTTCTTATCCTCTTCCTTCCTCCAGGGAAATAAAAGAGGTAAACACAGAAGAAAAGGGGATGAGAGGTGAAGATACAGCTACGGAAATGAAAAAAAAAAAAAGAGAGAGAAATTTTGAAGGGTAATCCAAAGTGAGTTTCATCTGCCTGGAAATAAAATTAAACCCTTCAGAAGAGAAGGTGTCATATAGCCTGCCTTTAGCCATGACTACGCTAATTATTTCCAATATCCTCTGACAATTGCATATCACTTCTGTAAATATCAATAAAGAATGTTTCTATTCTAATTATTTTGCAGAAGGATTTTTATGAGCTGAGCGAAAAGTTAGGGGACACGAGTACCTAAACAATCTAATAACTGTATTATGTATTGTTTTGTCAGCAAAATGTAAATACCTATATAAATTGCAAATGATTTTGGGGGTTTCAAAGATTCCTAGAAACCCAACTGTAGACTGTAGGTTAAGAACTGTAGTCTAAATTTGGGGTCCAGAGACTTGATTAATCTCTATCAATCTATTTATCTGCATTTTCTCCATATTTAGTTATTTATCTCTGTATTCATATGCATCTATCTATTTCACTTATATACACACATGCATAAGTGTGGCAAAATTTTTCTCTATTATTTTTAATTACGTGGTATACTATTAATCAGTTTTTACTTTTATTTCCCTGATCTAGTTGTTTTTTCTCCTGTTTCTATGATTGGATAACTCTCCAGACCTATTTCACGCATTTACAAAAAAATTCTTCCTAGGTAGAATATTTCATGGATCTGGAGAGTGTATAATTTTTAATTGACCCAAACTTGAGCCTATTTAGATGGTCAGTGCAGCTGCAGTATAGAATAGGCCATATGAGAAATAGATAGTTGTAAGATATAGTCATGGATGTCTCTGAGAAAGAAAAAAGCTTGGCCCAGTTTTTGAGTTTTTGAAATAATTATTCGACATCAGCAATGATAGTTTATCATCCATGTGTGTATTTGCAATTCCTAGTATGGTGAATAAAGTCATTGGTTATATTAATTTGCTGTCTTTAAAAACGTAAACCAGTATTTGGTGTCTATTTTGTGTGAAAATGTGGAGACATTTTAATAGTGTTCTAGCATAAAAGGCATAAAAGTTGGTCATTTTCTTGATCATTAGTTAAATATGCTGCTAAGGCATTTAATTTTATGACACTGTCTTTATCTTAACTATTTTTTCTCTTTTGTGTTAGTACTGTAAGTTACAGTTCGTGCAATTCTATCTGTTACCCAAAGGCAACTATGACAATCTCTTTTTTTGTCTGCCTAAGTCTGTAGGCAGCCATGAAGCTTGTATTATTTTTCTTTTCTTAGTTAATGTGTGGAAATCATTTAGAGAATGTGAGTAGGAGTTGTTTATGGTATGAAATCGTAATTCTATATACACAAGTAATTCTGAACATGAATTAAATAAATGCATTGAAAAGCAGCATGTTTTAGCTACTATGTATTCTTTTATTTAAAAAAAAGTGGTTGGGATTTTTCCTTCAAAATTCCCTTCCTACTTAAAATGCCTTAAAATATACATTTGAAAGAGGCTATTAAAATAATACAAAGGGCATTTTAAAATGTTTGTAATCCCTTGAAATTTTACTGCCATGTCAACTAGAAGGCATTTGGCACATTTGTGATCTTATGATCACACTCAGGAAGAGTGTCTGTATGAGGAGTGCTCTCTGACAGTATTGGTAGACATGTTCATCCATTCCCATTTAATGTTAGGATTCATTCTATATGCCAGATCAGGGGTCAGCAAATATTTTCTGGACAGGACCAGAGAATAAATATTTTAGGTTTTACAGCCCATATGCTCTCTGTTATAACTACTCAACTCTGCCATTGTAGCATAAGCACATGGGTATTGGCTATGTTCCAATAAAATTTTATTAATGGACACCAAAATCTGGATTTTATGTAATTCTCAAATATCAAGAAATATTATGATCCTTTTGATTTTTTTCCAGCCACTTAAAAATGTGAAAAATAGATAGTAGGCCAGATTTGGCCCATGGGCCATAGTTTGTGAACCCTTGTAGCTAGATAAAAAAAGCTAGAGAAAAAAAAAACCTGTGAAAAGGAGCCTGAAGATACTAATATAAATCACTAATCCCCACTGGTGCCACCAGAGCCAGAATTAGAACTCTGAGACAGCCTGTCTCCCCAGGCCATAGCATCACCCACAGCCTCAAAATCATGATTCAGGAACTGTTTGCCAACAGTTTTATTTAGAAGCTTTCATCTTTTAATAATGCTTATTTTTTCTCCAATCACAGTAAATCTAAAAAGTTTTAGTGACCAAACTAGAATTCTCTATTTAAACCCTGTCTTAGCCCATTTATAACTCTAGATCCTGACCAGTGCTGACCTCTGTTATGTGACTTTTTCAGAAATGAATACCATTAATAGAGGATTGGGTGTGCCTGGCATGAAAAAAAGATTCCTATATTTTGCTTAGTCCATACAAGTTCAGGGAGATATTCGTAAGTATTCTGAAATGGAAGCATCCTTTGCAAGATCAAAGAAGCTTGAAGTGTCTTCTAAACTCACTGCTTTACAATGTACACTAGCATCATAAAATTTTAAGTATCTTATAGAAAATGGCACTACTTTGTTTACTGGTAAAATTAACGAGCTTATTTTCTCAGAGGGGTAGTTTGTTTTCCTCACCCCTCATTTATTGATATCTCTCTGCCGCAACCTACCAGGTTTCCTTTAACATCAGTATGAGAAACACTTCTATCATGTTTATAGCTAACATTTACTGAAATAGGTGTCAGGCCCTGTACTAATGCATGCTAGGCCTTATACACTCATTTAATGGCTCATTTAATATGTGACCACACTTGCGATTGATGCCATTCTTCCCAACGCCAGGAGGCAGTGGTACACATTCATGTTTCTAGTAAATGCTCAAGCCAGGCTTGACACCCGTGTGAGCCCGCAAAACCACCACATGCTACAACTTTCTCAGACCAATAAGAATAATAATATGGATGGGTTCATTTTCTAGATCCCACAGAGGCCAAATATCTAAGAGTTAAGAGAAATAAAGAGGGCAAATGAAAGAAATGAGATTAGGGTTTAAAATTTATTGTACTCTGCATTTTCTTCCTCTGCCTTTGAGACTCACATTTTTTATATTAGCTGTATTCTCTTTCTTCCCCATTAGATTTGAAGCTCTTGAGAAAAGAAATGTTACCTTCTATTCCAAGTGCCTAGGAAAGTGGCTATCATATAGTGTATGTTCACTGCATGTCTCTTGAATTAATGAATAAACTAGGCCTCAGTTTTATTATCTATGGAATGATTGCATTGGATTAACCAAAATTTTTTTAAAAAAACTTAAAGTTTTTATTATTTTTTTTTTATTTTATTTTTTTTTTTTGGAGATGGCAGGGCAGAGAGAGAGGGAGGCACAGAATCCGAAGCTCTGTCAGCAGAGCCTGATTGGGGGCTGGAACCCATGAACCATGAGATCATGACCTGAGCTGAAGTCAGGCACTTCATTGAATGAGCCACCCAGGCACCCCTGGATAAATCAAAATTTTAAAAGTCTTGCAGTTATGAATTACTTAACATGGTCATAGCTTTCTCTCTACACCATAAGAGACAGGAGACCAGAGAAGTTCATGAATTTCACAGACTATACTCTTAAAAAGTATTTCACATTGCCTTCTCCTTCAGTCCCTCGTTAATACTAAAACCAATAGTGTCTTTTAGTACTTTGATGGCAGCAGCTGTTTATTAACATTATTTGCTGGAATTAATGTGATTTTCCTCCCTCATTTTTCTTTGAGGCATTGTTTTAATTATGCATTCACAGGCTGTTTGTGTTTACCTGTCTTTTTTATCCAATAATTGAAAAGGGCTTTGCAATCCAAGCACGCTAAGAAAATGGACCGTAAAGTGCTAAACAAATGTCGGTGGCTGTTATTATGAAAATAGAGTTTCTCCAGGCAGTTCTTTTCCTGTGGCAGGGCCCCTTTGGGCTGTATCTTAGCTAGGGAAACAGCATGTTTGAGTGAGTCAATGGCCAGTGGAGAGAACAATCCATAGGTTAGAAATGGTACAGGAATGAGAAGGAGAAATCATATTCACAGGAAAAGGAATACAACAGGAGGAAAAGGAGTGTGCAGCAGAACTGCTGCTGATAATTAGGGGTGGGAAGCTCCCTTGCAGCAAGGGTAAAACTGATATGTCACCATGTCCTGTGCCAGCTCTCAAGGAACCAGGGAAGGGGTTCTCCTTTTGTTTTGTTTTCTTTTCTTCTTTTCTTTCTCTTTTTCTTTTTCTTTTTTTCTTTTCTTTTCTCTTCCCTTCTCTTTCCTTTTCTCCATCTCCTCCTCCTCTTCCTCTCCCTCCTCATCCACCTCCTCCTCCTTTCCTTCCTCCTTCTTCTTAATGAAAAACTGAGCTGAAGTGATTCTGAATGTTTCAAAATGTGAAACCTGAAGAATCATCTGCAACCCAGATGATCAGGCCTGTTGAATTTCCTGGCTTTGAAACAAATGTTATCTCTGTCAATTCATCTTTAGGTTCATTTGTCCTGTTCGTTATTCAAATACTACCTTTCTCAAACAGTACTCATCTTGGGGTGCTGGGGGTGCTTTGGGGGTTGAGCACCTGATTCTTGATTTCGGCTCAGGTCATGATCCCAGGGTCATGGGATCAAGCACTGTGTCAAGCTCCACACTGAGCATGGAGCCTGCTTAGGATTCTCTCTCCCCCCTCTGCCCCTCTTCCTGACTTGTGCACACACACACTCTCTCTCTAAAATAAAATTTTAAAAAATGGCTCATCTTTACAGCCCCATTACATCAGGCCTAGAAAGGCCCAGATGGAAATCTTAAGAGGTCCTGGATCATGCAGAAATGTATGATCCAACCTGCTGAAATCCCTATATCCTAATAAGAAAACTGGCAACCTAATTGCAGAGCCACCGAGGAGTTATAAAACCCCAATTTATTCCAGGTGCCTTCCTAAATATTTTGATAAATATCAAACTATTTGCCTTAGGTGTATAGGAGTAGAGAGCAAGTAGAAACTGTCCCCTAGGACCTAGGACGAGACCTAGGAGGACCTAGGAGGGTCCTAGGAGGAGAAGATGACCTAGGAGGAGAAGATGTGGAGATGATGGTGAAAAGCAAAGCTGCGAGGGCCACCCTAGAAGCCAGCGTAGGAAAAGGAAAGAGATAGAGACTTCCCTACTGGACAGAATCAGTTCCCAGCTCTGCCACTTGAGCTGGTTGCTTAGGTTTTCTGAGCCAGTTTCCTCTTAGAAAATGTGAAGTAAGAATGCCTCCCTCAGGAGGTTGTGGTGAGGATGGAAGGACATAAGAGTGAGAGGAACACTTAGCACTCTGCTGACGTGAGTAAGGCTCATTGAACAGTAGCAATATTTTGGAACAATTGCCTGAGTAGTGCCATAAATAATAACTGGCCTGGATACTGAATTGTCTCAGGTGGGATTATAAAGGCAGATGAAATTTAGAAAGCAACAGATCAGTAAGGACTGGAATAATCAAGGAAGTCTTTCCTGGAGGCAGTGAGTCTGAAACTGGAATTAAAAAAAAAAACTGCAGGATTTTGATTAGGTGGCCATGAGGTTAAGAATTTTAGGCTGAAGAAATATTGGCAAAGCATGAAGGAAGTTCTGAGACGAGAAAGGTGTACTAATGGAGTAGGAAGGGGGATGTACCAGGGACATTCATGTGTGTGTCCTGCTGATCCAGGCTGTCCTGGAGAGTTAGCCATTTGGCTATTTCTCTTACAGTGCCTTTTCAAAGGAGCCCTGATTCTTAGGGAGCTTGGCAGCATGCAGACACCAGGTTATCTTCACACAGGCGTTCAACTAATTTTGTGAAAATGTACAACCCAGTGTTAATCAAATGCTTATATTTCAAACATCAGAGTAATAAAACTAAATTCAACCTTTTATATTAATTCAGATTGCATCAACAGGACCATTATTATGAAGTGGCATTGGTTTAAGGATCCTCTGATCTCATATGAAAAGGTTTCACTTGATCAACATGCTTTTAAAATGGTGTGTGTCTGCAATAAGAAAGAGGGGTGGGTAGACAAAGTATTTATTGGCTTTCCAGGACTATCTAACAAAGTATTGCAGACATGGTGGCTTAAATAACAGAAATTTATTTTCTTACAGGTGTTGGGTCTAGAAGTCCAAGATCCAGGTGTTAACAGGGGTTGGTTTCTTCTGAAGCATCAACCTTTGCCGTATAGTTGGCTGCCTTCTCCCTGTGTCTTCTCAGGGCCTTCCCTCTGCATCCTCTGTGTCCTAAAATTTCCTCTTCTTATAAGGACACAAGTCAGATTGGATTAGGGTCTACTCTCATGACTTCATTTTAACTCAATTGCCTCTTTAAATACCCTGTCTCCAAGCAGGGTCAGATTCTGAAGTACTAAGATTTGGGACCTCAACATATGTATTTGGGATAAATACAGCTTAACCCGTAACAGGGTCAAAAAGGAGATTAGACATTGCTATTCTTCCAGAGGCTTCTCTTTTTGTGGGGAAAACTCTTCCTATGTTTATTATTGGCTACTTGAGCCTCATCTTATTCCTCAAAGAATGAAGCAGAAATTCAGACCTTACTATGTGTAATGTACATCAAGCCACAATCCAGAATTCTACTTAATCCTTTCATAAATACTAGAAACCCTGAATGATATAGCAACCAAAGTATTAACTAAGAACATGTGAAATAGAAATGGAAGTCCAGAGAAAGAACAAATATTCTATATCTAGCTATTCTTTCCTATAAATTGTCCTTGAATTTAAAATTCTCCTTAATTTTGCTGCTAGGTTTGTTTTTAACACTTTGCCTAGAATAAATAGACATGTTCCCTTGTGTTGTTATTATCTTTTTCTTTTTAAGTAAGGCTGATTTTTATTTAGGAACAAGCTCCTGTCTAAAAGTGGTATACTAATGCATTAAATACTACCGTGACGTGTCTAGTCAGGGGGAGGAAGCCAAAAGGAGCTCTTGAGAGATGTTCTCCAGTTGCTCAAGTCTCCTGTTGTGAATTACCAACTTGTCATTCAGGGTGTCGAGGAGCAAAGAGTGCCCAGACAGGCAATTAAGGCTTATGGAAAACAATTAGTGCAGGGGCATGACATGGTGTAGGGCTTATTCCTTCAGCACCAATCACATTGTCTTTCTCATGACTCATTATTTCTGATGTGTCACTTGCTTATAGGAATCACAGGGGAGATGATAGATTTGTTCTTAGGGTTACTTGACTCTAATCTAGGGGCTGTGATGTGTCATAATGGGTTCTGTGAATGACAAATAACTCATTCTGATATGGTTATAACTGATGCAAATCAATTATCATTTGAAGAGTTTATTTTGTGTTTTAGTTTTGATCAGCCACTCTCTCCCACTTAATTTTATGGAAATCACCCCAATTTTCTGATATCTAATATAGTTGGCCTTTGAATAATGTGGGGATTAGGGGCACTGACTCCCATGCAGTCAAAAATCTACATATAACTTTTGATTCCCCCAAAACTTAACTATTAAAAGCCTACTGTTGACCAAATCTGCCTTACTAATAACATAAACACTTGAATAACACATATTTTTTATGTTATAAGAATATGATAAACTAGATAAAAGAAAACATTAAGAAAATCATAAGGAAAATACATTTACAGTACTATACAGTATTTATTTAAAATAAAACAAAACCAGCTTACAAGTGGACCAGCACAGTTCAAACCCATGTTGTTCATGGGTTTGAACTATATACAAAACTACTTACATCTGCCTTTTGGTCCTCTTTTCCTCCCTTATAATAAAGGAACTGTCCCTTTTCCTTCCTATATCTAGTCCTTCATTTGTCTTAGAATTTCATCC